GGAGTCTCCAAACCCAGCAGATCCCTGCGGTGCACTCCTGCACCACTCCTCCTGGGGGAGGAAGGGGAGTCTCCCTTCATCTGCCGCTTGTTGGGTCCCTGCTGGAAGAGCCTTGGCCCGACTGTGCCGCAGATCATGGTTTATGGCAACCCCAAGTTGAGAGCCCACTCTTCGGCTCCGTCTTTGCAGCCAGCTTCCCTGCTCCAATACCTGGGAGCTCTGCCGCACTCAGGCACCTCCGGTCTTCCTGTGACCCCGAGTGTCCTGAGACCACACTGTCCCAGCGAGGGTTCCATTCCTGCTTAGCCACTGGAGTGACATCCCTCAGTGCACCAGACTTCTAAAAGTTCAGATTTTGTGCTCTGCTACTCTATCACTTGCCGGTAGTGCCTGACGGAGGACCCCTCCCCCTGTGGTCTATCTTCCCGAATATTGCCTCGGATTTACTTCGCAGGCCCTACCTTCTAGAAAGTGGTCAATTTTCTGTTCATAGAGTTGCTGCTATTCTTTTCTTTGATCTCCTGTTGAGTTCATAGATGTTCAGAATGGTTTGATCCCTCTTTAGCTGAATTCCTGGGACCAGATGAAATTTAGGTCTCCTACTCCTCTGCCATAATGCTCCTCCCTGTATTGGTTTTTTGATAGGGATTACATTAAATCTGTAGATTGCTTTGGGTAATGTCAACATTTTAACAATACTTATTCTTTAATTCATGAGCATGGAATATCTTTCTATTTATGTTGTCTTAAATTTCTTTCATCAATGTTTTATAGTTTTCAGAGTACAGGTTTTCACCTCCTTAGTTAAGTTATTCCTAGGTATTCTATTCTTTTTGCCGCAATTGCAAATGGGATTTTTCTCTTAATTTCTCTTTCTGCTACTTCATTATTTAGTGTATAGAAACAACAGATGTCTATATATTGATTTTGTATCCTGCAACCTTATGGAATTCATTTTATCAGTTTTAGTAGTGTTTTGGTGGTGTCTTTAGGGTTTTCTATACAAAATATATCATCTGCAATTAGGGAAAATTTTACTTTTTCTTTACCAATTTGGATGCCTTTTATTTCTTTCTCTTGGTCTGATTGCTATGGTTAGGGCTTTCAGTACTACACTGAATGAAAATGGTGAGAGTGGACATCTATATCTTGTTCCTGACCTTACGGGAAAGGATCTCAGTTTTTCACCATTGAGGATGATGTTAGCTGTGGGTTTTTCTTAGATGGCCTTTCTTATATTGAAATGTGTTCCCTCTAAACCTAATTTGTTGAGGGTCTTCATCATGAATGGGTGTTGTAATTTGTCAAAAGCTTTTCTCTGCATCTATTGAAATGGTCATATGGTTTTTACCCTTTCTTTTGTTGATGTGATATGCTATGTTGATTGATTTGCAAATATTGAGCCACCATTGTATCCCAGGAATAAATCCCACTTGATCATGGTAAATGATTTTTTTAATGGATTCAGTTTGCTAATATTTTGTTGAGGATTTTAGCATCCATGTTTATCAGAGGTATTGGCCTGTAGCTCTCTTTTTTTGTAGTGTCTTTATCTGGTTTTGGTGTCAAGGTAATGCTGTCCTCATAGAACAAATTTAGAAACTTCCCTTCCTCTTCTATTTTTTGGAACAGTTTGAGAAGAATAGGTATTAACTCTTCTTTAAATGTTTGGTAGAATACACCTGTGAAGCCAACTGGTTTTGGACTTTTGTTTGTTGGGAGTTTTTTTTAAATTACTGATTCAGTTTCATTGCTGGTAATCAGTCTGTTCAAATTTTCTATTTCTTCAATGAATCATGGAACACTACATCAAAAACTAATGATGTAATGTATGGTGATTAACATAACATAATAAAATAAATTTTAAAAATATTTTCTGTTTCTTCCTGATTCCATTTGGGAGGTTATATATTTCTAGGAATTTATTCATTTATTGCAAGTTGTCCAATTTGTTGGCATATAGTTTTTCATCATATTTTCTTATAATCCTTTTTTATTTCTGTGGTATCAGTTGTTATTTCTATTCTGTTTCTGATTTTGTTTGAGTCCTCTCTCTCTCTCTCTCTTTTTGATGAGTCTGGCTAAAGGTTTATCAATTTTGTAGATCTTTCCATGAAGCAACTCCTTATTTCATTGATCTGTTCTATCATTGTTTTAGTTTCTATTTCATTTATTTCTCCTCTAATCTTTATTCTTTCTGCTGGTTTAGAGTTTTATTTCTTTTTCTTTTTCTAGCCCCTTCTGGTGTTGTTAGGTTATTCATTTGAGATTTTCTCTTGCTTTGAGAGGAAGACCTGTGTTGCTGTAAACTTCCCTGTTAGGATAGCTTTCACTGTGTCCTGAAGATTTTGGACCATCATGTTTTCATTTTCATTTGTCTCTGTGTATTTTTTTATTTCCTCTTTGATTTCTTGGTTGACTCATTCATCATTTAGTAGCATGTTATTTTACCTCCATGTATTTGTGCTCTTTCCATATTTTTTTCTTATAGTTGATTTTTAGTTTCATAACTTGCTCCTTAATTCTTTTATGGGTCCCCCAAAATTTATATGCATCCTATTTCCTTTTTATATTTCAATGGGCTCAAAATATGAAATTCCTTCAGTATTCAAAATTGCTATTTTCGGTTGCTCTTTGAAATAGTACTTCATTCACCTCACTTGTATTAGTCTGGTGGCACAAGGGCAAATGATGATCATTCAACAAGTAACAGTTGGATTCAGCTTAATTGGACACCAAGCTTAGAACCTAGTAAAGCTCTTGGCACATAATAAGTATATGATATCTATTGTTAAATTAATCAGTTGAATGGTATTGCATTGAATATCCTGAAACGGTGCTGCCTTGATCTGTTCATGTGTGTTTCCAAAAGCCCTCTTTTCTCTTATTTCTGACCTTAAATAATACAATTATTTTTGTTTACCCTTTCTTAATTCCCTTACCTCTTTGACCCTGACAATACAGAATTCTCTCTTTTATTCTTTGATTTTTTTAAATGGCTTCTTCTCTAATGATTTACCTTTTCCAAAGCATCTATATTCTGCACAGGTGAATTTTTTGTTATACTGTATAACTATACCACTGGGATCTATACAAATGGAATGCCTCCTTACACAATATAGTGTCCAGCTATATTTATTTATTCCCTTGAGAATTTCCTTCCTATATTGTAATACATCCCACCTCTCACTGACATCTTAAAAGGAAACAACAGCTTTCCCTCACTCATATTCATTTCTCTTATATTGTTATTTTCTTCCTTTCCAAACAGAAATCATGTACTGTTGCCAAACATATTAATTATTTAGATTTTATTTCAGCTTTTTCCTTTACATATTATGACATCCTTCATGTCCTTTCCAAGAAATTATTTTTCTCATTTTCAGAAGAAATAAGGTCATTGCAGAGAATGTAAAAATAAAGAAAAATATATAGATGCAAATTAAAATCACCTCTGAATAGCAAATTGCCTGCCATCCAGAGATTTTCTGCTTTTTCCTATGTATACATGTATATATTTTTCTAAACAAAATTAAGATCATACTATAATATACTACTTTATTATTTTTTTTCAAATTTAACATTATATCATCAACACTTTCATGTCATTACTCTTCAAAATACAATTTTTATAAATGTGGAATATGCATTTAATACCTTTTTTGGGACTTGGAGCCATTTTATTTGTATGTATTTTTTCATTGTTATAAGTTATATCATGATTAACATTTTGTGCATAAAATATTGTGTCTTTCTCTAATTATTTTCTAAGTTCTTAAGAGTAAAACTAAGTAAAAATTTTTATATGTGTCTTTACAGCTCTTGACATATATTGCCATATTATTCCCCTAAGGACTATAATTTCCATCTTTTCCTATTCATAATTGTGGTTCCCTTCTTTTGGGGGTTAAAAGTAGATAAGCATCATTTCAGAATTATTGTTAATAGCCAATATGATGAGTCAACATATTTCGATTCATTTGTTGTTGAAATCCCCTCATTTCACCCAGTTTGTTAATTATTCATTAATTTGGCCCCTTGCTAATTTATTTCTTCATCTCACTCATCCAATAATGATCATTCATCAATCCAATGTTACAATGTCACTGCATACTCAAATCAACATTAGGCTCCAGGTATACTGAAGGGTCTAAGCCATGTGCTTGCACTTGGTGGCTATACTTAGTGGCTGATCAGAGGTGAATACCATGAGGATGCATTCCTGTTCATATTTTTGGAGAAACGTACATTTCAAAAATGTTTCTGTAACCATATTAGTGATCACTTTCTTCACAGAGCTTAACGTTTCTCAAACATACACATTATGTAGCAAAAACCTTACCTTTATCTAGATTCCTTTCATTTTTTACCAGTATGATAAGCCTAAAACTCATCCCTTTAATGAGTAATGAATTCCACATTTAGTGTTCTCCTTTGTTACTATAGTATGCACTCATTATATATGAACTGTGTGTGTGCGTTGCAAAACATGACAATTGAACAGTGGACATTTCTAAGAAAAAGCAATAAAATTATGAATTGTGTTCATTTTTGGTTAATTTTTCTTATTTTTAGTCTTTCTTTTTTTAAAAGATTTATTTATTTTAGAGAGAGAGAATGAGCAGGAGGAGGGACAGAGGGAGAGGGAGAGAGAGAATCTTAAGCAGACTCTCCACTGAGTTTGGAGTCCAATTCAGGGCTTGATCTTATGACCCTGAGATCATGACCTGAGCCAAAATCAAGAGTTGGGCGCTTAACTGACTGAGTCACCCAGGTACTCCTGTTTTTCAGTGATTTCTAAACTTTCTGCCATAAGCATATATATGATCTATAATCAGGAAAAAACACATTTGCAAATTGAAGTTTGTTTACTCAACTGTAGCTTTTATGATGTATGGAGTGCTTACTAACCTCCTATATGCCTGAATACATATGTGTTGGATCAATTTGTTATGCTGGCTTGATGTCTAATTTTTTTCATTTAAATCATGTTTTTTCAGTGTCCTCTATGGAAATAAAATCACAGAACTCCCAAAAAGTTTATTTGAAGGACTATTTTCCTTACAGTTACTGTAAGTATTTGATGGTTTCTGATCTGTTGAACCAAGCGTTATATTTTAGTCAGTGTACACTCTCATGGTTTCATGGAGACTTCAGAAAAGCTCAACCCCAAATGACATAGTTTAATGAAATGGAAAAGATTAGTATAGTACAACTAACACTGATGGGTGTTATTTTTTTTGAAGACACAGCACTTTGAAGTTGTCTTAAAACCTTTCTGTCCACCCCGTCACAAATGTAGGCTTCTTGGCTACTCTGTCATTAAAAGCTTGTGCCGTCTCTGCCCTTTATGAAACTCTCTGTTTTGATTTAATAGTATTGGGAGGGAGAGTGACATAGTGAGAGGTTTATCCACCTTTATCCAAAGCATCTGCAGGAGGGACAATGCTGGAATACCGTGTCCCCAGTCCAGAGGTGGTTGCAGGGGGCCAGAACACAGCAGGAGCACTCCAACTGGTGTTTACTCAGAAAATTATCTGTAAACTCCTGGCCTGCATCTTCTAAAAACCATTCTGCTTAGAGAGTAGCTACCTCTTCTTTGTCTCAAAAGAAGAATGTACTATACATATGTGTATAAGAACAAAACTTGACCACAGTTGTTTTAGTGAATGCTCATATGGAAAGGAAATTGCAAAAAAAATACACTAGTCTTAAGATAGTTAGTGTTAGATCATCAAATTCTCTTCAAATCACCAAACATACATAGAATTCCTCCTTTGGGGCTGCTGTGGATACAAAGATGAGTATGATGCACTCTCTCAACTAGTTCATAGTCGGTCTACCTTAAAATTCTCAAGTTTAAAATGTTATTTTCTCTTTTGGTGTATACATTTGTTGGTGTTGGGGTTTGTATCATTGATTTGGCAAAAATTTACTGCTAATCCCACAGATTTCCCAAATGTAGATCTTTTCCCTTACTTGATCAATGTAAGTTATAATTATATCCTAATATTCATGTTTTAAATTTTCATCATTATCTAGAAACATATTTTATATCACAACCCAGTTTTCCTACACAACACACAGATGCACACAAATGAAGCAAATTGTTAACAAAACAATATTTACCTTTACTATATATAGTACTCTCCATTTTACTGCATTCTCTGTCTCTTGCTCTGGTCTCTCTTTTTCTGTCTCTTTAGTACTGTGCAACCCAATAAATTGATTTTACAACAGACCAGTAAGTCATGAAAAATACTGATCCTTATGATCTAATGTCTTTATTTGGGTTTCAAATTATTTTTTAACCTTTGAGGTGGGCTCTGCAAATATTGCTTCTGATCTTTAATAGAATGACTCTGTATACATTATACACATTATAGGTATATCTGGATGCTATAGCCAAGTATTGCCTGTGTGTTGTTTCTCTGTCATTCTTCTACCTTCTCCTAGCACTATTATGTTTGCCATTTACTTGCAATCTCTTGCTATCACTTGCCTGTCTAGTACTAACATTTAAATAGTACCTTCTTTTTCTTTCCACACATACTTATTGGTGGCTGACATAACAACCAGGTTCATAAACCATGGGATCTGTACACAGATAAATCTTACTTAAAAAGCTATCTTTGTCCCTCAGCCTAATATGTCATCTCTAGATGAAGGCCAGTTCCTAAGCCTGCCAGGGCTAAAGCAACACAGTTGTCTCTTTCTGGCTAGCTGAGAACTTTAAGCGTCTTAGATTTGCTTGAACAGATGAGGTACTAGGGAAAAGAAGTAGGTAAATGGAAAGAGCAAAAGAAAGTCGTGTGTGCAATACTTTCTTTCTCCTACTTTGCTGACCTCATAATTTAAAGTAAGTACAAAATGCTCAAAACAGCACTTTCTTCAATTGTCTTCAATGCTCCCCACTTTTTCCTTCTCCTCATTTCTGCTCTCTGACTTCTTCAGTTAGCTGACAGATTGGGGAACACAGTCAGTGTGACCTGTGTTGTGGTGCAGGGTGGGGAACACAGTCAGTGTGACCTGTGTTGTGGTGCAGGGTGGGGAACACAGTCAGTGTGACCTGTGTTGTGGTGCAGGATGGGGAACACAGTCAGTGTGACCTGTGTTGTGGTGCAGGGTGGGGAAATGGGATGACCAGTCTATCCCTGAAACCAGTTCCCAAGCTTTTAAGAAACTATTATGAGGACCACAGAGAAGACCAAAATGTCAGGTCCTAAAGGGAGGTTAAAAAAAAAAAAAAAAGAGGAGCGAAGAGAATTATTCTGAGGAAGTTCACAGCCTTGCATGTGTGTGGATACCTAAAAAAACAAGTAAAGCAGAAGAAATACCCTATGTTAATTAAAAATAGAGATTCTTAGTGGACAAAAGGGAAGACATTTTTCAGTGTGTTAAATAGAAGGCATACAAATCTAAATGACAGAGCACATATTTTTTGAGCTACTATGTGTTTGTTCAAGTCTTAAGTATCAAAGCAGTAAAATAAATGCTAATAGAGATAAAAGTATCAAAAAAAATTATCTGCCCACGGAGGTCACTAATCCACCTTTGGGCAAACACATAGGCCTACAGAAAGGAGGTGCCAAGACTAAGTAGCACTGAATAACTTCCTTGGGGACCTAGAGGAAGAAATACTTTAGTTGGGTAGAAGCTTCTGGAAAAGGTGAGCTTCCCATGCAGCCATGATAGGCCAGAGCATTGGGGAAGGTGGAGGGCAAGGCAAGTGTATTCCCAAAGGGAGTCCAACATGCATAAAAACCCAGAAACGATCCCATACAACCTACAAGAATGGCATTTGCCAAAGTATGATTTGTAAACCACAGTTCCATAGAATATTGAAGTCAAATATTGATAGCATGTTGGAAAAAAAATGAGTTTGTGGCATATTGTGTTAAACCAAGTTAAATGGGCATTTATACTGCAGGACCAGGGCCTTTAATAGGGTTATGAACCATGTCACTCTCCAAGAGGATCATAAAATGTTCATTCAACAACATATTTATGGAGCACCTTGTATGCGCTTGGCACAAACAAAAATGCCTGTCTGGGGGAACATACAAATGGCAGCAATAATGTAATAAGTAAATCATATGTAACAGAGAGAAATATGTATTTAAGAAAATAGAAAAAAAATAAACAGATCATAGTAAAGGAATTGCGTGTGCTAGAGGTTGAAGTGGGGCAAACACAGGTGATGGTATTGAAGAGAGGAGTCAGTGTAGGCTGAATTGAGAAAGTAAGATTGCAACAGACCCAAAGAAGCAGAATAATCAGACCTCAAGGGAAAGAACATTCCAAGCAGAGACCCCCACAAAGAGACATGTGTGGCTGGAGCTGAAGCAGCCAGGGAGAGGTATATAGAGGTAATATAATTAGGTATTATATTAGAGGTATTAGGAGTTCAGAAGGGGGCGCTAATGGTCCTAATGGGCATTGAGGCAATGTGTCAGGACCTTGGCTTCCCCCAGAACAATTTGGGAGTTGCTGCCTGGCTTTGAGAGAAAGTGACCTGTGTTTTAAAAGGCCACTCTGGCTTCTGTTTTGAAAATAGACTGAATTTCTTCACAGAGCAGCTAGAGAGACTAATGTTCTATGACAATTTTTATGGCGTCCTTGACAGGAGACGTTGGGTCTCACCCACCTTTGTCTACTGCCCTACCTCTTCATCTTCCAGAGAATATGTTGAATAATTTTTATTGAATAAATGTGTAAGTACCACTAGATTTAGGCATTCATTAAACCACATGACCCTTGCTTTATCTGGAATATCTTCCACCTGTGGTACCTAAATTGTTCCAGTTAAAATGCTAGTGTTGAGGTTCAGAGAAATATTATTTCTTGATTTCTTGTATTTCTCAAGAAGGACAGAATCTTGAAGGTGGGTTAACGAGATGCTACACTTTAATTCTGCAACTATTTGATCAAACAGATTATTGAATGCCAACAAGATAAACTGCCTTCGGGTAGATGCTTTTCAGGATCTGCACAACTTGAACCTTCTCTCCTTGTACGACAACAAGCTTCAGACCATTGCCAAGGGGACTTTTTCACCTCTCCGGGCCATTCAAACCATGTATGTATATATGGCTTGGATCAAATACGATGACTGCTCTCCTCACTGTGAATTTGAGAGTTGAGTTCATTGCAAGTCATGTATAAAAGTGTTCTGTCTGTGTTTCTGAAAGGCATTTGGCCCAGAACCCCTTTATTTGTGACTGCCATCTCAAGTGGCTGGCGGATTATCTCCATACCAACCCCATCGAGACCAGTGGTGCCCGCTGCACCAGCCCCCGGCGTCTGGCAAACAAAAGAATCGGACAAATCAAAAGCAAGAAATTCCGTTGTTCAGGTAATTTCTTACTTCATGTGATATTTCCCCTGTGTGACCAAAAACAGTGGTTACGGAGACCTAGAGACTGCTGGTCTTCAGATGAATTACCAAACATTGTAGAATATACTTTTTTCTTCTGTCTATAAAGAACAAAATAAAGGGAGCTGTAGGCACAATTCATATAGCACTCCTATAGGTAATATTTTAACACTATATCCAGCATAACAAATAGGCTACCAGCCAAGAAAAAATGATGCTTGGATACTTCATACTGCATTTTTAGGGTTCAAACTAAACGGGCCTTTTAGCAAGCTCAGAATCCGTTTTATGTCTGTTAAGTCTCATGCCTGTTGTATTATTCTCCATTGAGAAACTTAAGGTAATCAATCATGTTCTCATTTCTTCAGAAAGTGAACTGAGACCTGGTTATGTGATTTGCTCAGGTTCAGAAGTAGGGGGGAAAAATTTCCTGATCCCTTGCTTCGCACACTAAATGTGTTTACTTATTTTTCACCCCCTTATTTTAAATAGGACTGTGAGGATAATTTTTTTTTTTGCCAAAAGGCCATCTTTTAGCATTTTGGGAATATTATATTTATTTACAAAAAGCCAAATCTAGATCCATTATGTTACTATTATATAAAAGGCTTACTTCATTGAAATTTTTTGTTCACTTTGGTCTCATCTTTTCTGTGTTCTTATGATAAAATACATTCTGTATGTTTTGAGTAGTATGCTGTCTAACTATTCCAGGGGTATTTCACATTCGGCAGTTAATTCATACTAAAAAGCTAATATCAAAACAAAGCTGTTTATTGTCCATGGTTCTAGAGACATTTACTACTCACTGTACATTATTATACTTCAGCCACTGCTGTGAATATAATTCACTTAATTATCTATAGTACCTATAGTCCATTCTTAATCTAATATAACTCATATCTCTGCTTGCTGACATTCAGGTGCATCTTCTATTTTTTTTTTCTCTTTTTTTATTTAGCTAAAGAACAGTATTTCATTCCAGGTAGGTTTTGCTCGGTAGTAGGACTAACTGCAGACACCCTTTCCTCACCTTATAAAATATAGCTTCTGAAACTTTGATATGCATGCGTTTGAAAGTACAGTGGGTACTCTGTAGATAGATTGACTTCTGCATAGATCACTTGTAGCTGTTTCCTGAAAACCTGACCTTTGCATGCAGCTTCTGATGTTAGACATATATATTATTAAACCCCCATCTTTTTTTTCCTCTCTCACTTTGGCACATTATCTAAAATTTCTCACAGTAGCTAAAATGTTTGAACTTATAGCCTTCTACTTAAATCATTTTCTCTCCTTATGTTGTATATCTGATCTTTCAACCTGTTTTTAAAATATAGCTTATTGAGCTGGTTTTAAAGACAGAGACCTTTCTGTTGTCAAAGAACTAGTTCTACATGAAATCAGTTACAAACACACAGAATTCTCTTGTCGACCATGAAATTTACTTTTTTTAATATAATTCTTTATACTAAGAAAATGTCCCTTATTTTTTGCTTTATTTTGCTTTACTGTTGCTTCACGTTTTATACGAAAACAGCAACTTACTGCTTGTTGACATGCAATTATATATTATTTGTAACATTGTTGCAGACCTGGGGTGATGGTATAACTCCACAGAAACAATACTGACCTACATCCTGAAAGCCTCAGATGTTCCTGGGCACTAAATGCCTTGAATAATTTAGGCAGATGCATGAAAAGTTTTTTAGAAAAGTAATTGAAATGTTTTACCACTACAATCTTAACACTCTTAAGGCTGATGATTCTGGAACTAGCTCTTTGAAACATGTTCACTTATTTTTTTCCTTGCCTGCCAATTGTGTAAAATGCCTCTTGTTTGTTTTAGACCATTATATAAAAATATGTGTTAGTAATTGATTGGCTACATTTACCATCTCCTGGGGATATTCTAGACTATCATATATTTTAACAGCTACCAATAAGAAGATACTTATATGGTGTTAGTATGCAAAAGCCTTACTGATTTTTTAAGGAAGAGTTCTGGGTTTGGTCTCTATTTTAAGGAGATATGTGTTATTTGCCATTATTGAATTATAATTTGAATAATTTTATGCATATAACGGATTTTGTTTTATTACTTATTTTGAGCTTGAGTGATCAGTAATATTTATATATTACACGGGCTGCGTAAGAAAACATGTTGAATAGAACAGTTGATTGGCCTTCATAGGCAATCTTTAAAATTCATTATTTTTACCTCATTGTTAAGCAGAAAGTCGTCTGATAACTATTACTTACCCAGAAAAAAAGCCATATTCTAAATACCAAACACCTATAGGATAAAACACTGATATTACTAAAATCTTCAAATTATGGCAGTTAATAGAACTGTTACCAAATTATTCAATAAATTGCATTTAAATATACTGTATTAATAATTAAGAAATTAATATTTCTGATTCACAAATTAAAGATCCAACGTCAGATTGTTTTCATAAATTCTGATAGAGTTTTGCCTATTTATTGACAGCAGTCAAAATAGGTTTTTTTGGAAACACACTGTATATGTGATATCGTGGCTTAATTGTCAGTAATTTCTGATCATTCAATTTACATTAAAGCAATAACAATAGAATTCAGGACTAAGAAGGGTTCTTTGGGCCTTCTCTCCTTTTTCTTCCTAGATTATATTAAAATTTTAGCTTACCTATAGAGTCTTCATAAAAGAAACATCATTGTCATTACAATGAATGCAGACTATTTTAAATATAAGATACCTGATGTACCTGTCATTTAGCCCTTTGTTTCCAGTAGTTCTTCATTTCACTTTTAAAACAAAAGCTTAAACTACAGGACAACAGTTCCTCAATAAATGCCCTGGCATTAATTGTCAAGTCTAATGAAATGATTATATTCAACTTTGCGATTGTATGAGGTTCTGATTTCATTTCCACTAAGTGACATTATTTTATAAGTTGGAAAGGCCATTAAAAAGCACATAAGCCACAACAGTAAGGCTTAATCCAGATGTATTTGTTTTTGAAGATCTCCATGATTAGTTTTTCACTTACGTTTGCATGTTTACTTGCCTACCACCCTTCTATATGGCATTCTAGATATTATAGTGATAACTCAACAGAAAATCTATCTTGCAGAGAGCTCATCATGTAGAGGAATCGACAAGAACTTAATTTGTGCTGTGCATCTCGTATGCCATTGCTTTTCCTGTAAGAGCACTGTGCTTCAAAAAAGTACCACAAATATTTGCAAAGCATGACAATGGCTGTCATACTCTGCCATCCCCCCTATAATTGCCATAGTAAGGAAAGAAGGAAGAGACCTTCACTAGTTTTGTATATGTGTTGATTAACCTTAATTGGGATTACTCTTTCTTTCCTTCTTGGTGATCTTTACTTTTGCAGGAATTCACCATTTTGGCTGTAAGTAAAAGTGTCTGATCTGAAACTTAATGCCCTCCCTTTTCAATCCTGATGTACCTTCTTCTAGTCTCGGTCTTTTGCACCTTTTTTTTTTTTTTTCAAGAAGCAACCACAGATCTTTTGAGCTTCTCTGTTGTCCTTGTAGCTCACCTTCAACTTCTTCCTGGATGTTGTTCCCGAAAGCTGTTGTTTCCATTCTGCCGTTCTGAGGAACAGTGGAGGCACCTTTCAGTGTAGCCCCTTCTTTGTGTTTCCAGGAAATCTTCGGTAGTAATACTCTTACTATGGTCATAAACATTCTGCGGGAAGAATGCATGTCATGTAAACAGTATTACGTTTCCAGAGCGTCTGTAGCTTTTTCTCCTGCTTCCCTTCATCTTTCCTCTCGGTCTTACCCTTGGCCTAGTGGATGGTGTAGTGATTATGTAGCGAGATTTTCTGTTGTGCTTGATCTAACCATGTGGTTGCCAGGTATGAGTAAAACATGGTTCCGTCAAGCACCATGGAACGTCACGCAGCTTTCTACAGCATGACAAGCTGCTGAGGCTTAAATCAGGATTTACTTGTCTCCTTTTATAAAATCAAAATGAAAAAAGAGGGCTTTTTTAGGCATTTCCGAAGATTATGTGAGAGGGAGAGAATAATATAAGACCATAGAAAATTTAAAAACCTGAGTACATCTATTTGCCTTGAAAGCCCTAATTTAAAATGATATATAGGAATATGTTTCTTACTGGATACATTTTAAATTCTTGACTCAGAGAAAAAATAAACTTTGTAACAATGAATAGCCATTGTATGATTAGCTGTCAACTAGGCTAGAATGGCTCATAACTGGATCAGCAGAAAGTACAGCTGTGAAAAGCTCATCTCTATTAATGTTTTCCTGTCCTGTGAATCTGGTTACTCTTTTTTCCAGCAAATTCCAAGCCCTTGTTTTAACCCTCTCCTGACATCCATTGACCAAAAATTCCCCAAGTTGTCTCCCTGCTGCATAATCTATAGTTATCTTACTATTTTTCTTCCTACGAATTAATGACTATTCTAACCTTTAGACTCAGTATCTTTTTTTTTTTTTTTTGCCTTGAATCCTCAATAGGTACAGAAGATTATCGATCAAAATTAAGTGGGGACTGCTTTGCAGATTTGGCTTGCCCTGAAAAGTGCCGCTGTGAAGGAACCACAGTAGATTGCTCCAATCAAAAACTCACCAAAATCCCAGACCACATTCCCCAGTACACTGCAGAGCTGTGAGTTCATCTCCCAATAAAATCCGGGTTGGGAGGGAGGGAATGAAAGCATCAGAGCATTGCAATTTTTGTCTTTCCCTTTTATTTTTAAGAATTACATTGATTTTAATTAACACACATGGCCATAACTCTTCTTTGTACAAGGATATATTAGAAGCTATCTTACTTCATCTTGCTGATCCAAAACATGACTACAGAAATTAATTTATGTCTCAAAAATTCCGTTAGTTCTTAATAATGCTAATAATAAGAGCATTCCTTTGATATTTATTTCTTGGGTATTATTTATGCCTGCACCCATTTCTAAACATGTAATAGATTTCTAAGGTATATAGTCTTTTGCAGCAACCACATAAAATAGTTGGTGAATCACCATTTTGAATCTCTGTTAATTAGGAATTCAGTCAGAGAGCCTTTATCGGCTTTATTACCTCACTGACTCGAAGGTGGTAGGATTCTGTGATTATCAGGTATTTAAAGCACAGAGGATACTTTTTCCCTGAAAAATGGATAGCGTAGCAGGAAAAGCTGAAAGGACAATGAGATCAGATTGATATTTATAACCCTACCTCGAGCCTAGCACATACTAGGTGCTAAAATGTTTGTTGAATCATCTATAGACTCTATGCCAAGTATGGTTTGCCTTTAGTGATTTTATTTATAAAAGTCACACTAGTTTTCTAAAAATTCAAGAAAAACTTGGTGAAATCTCGTTGTTTTCTGAACATCTTAGCAACGTTTATGTATAGCACCATCTGGTATTTGCAATTAACTGCTGTGCAAAGTTGGTTGTCCTTTTATGCTTGCATAATCCTTTTGTCTTCAACTAGCTTGTAATTCCTTGATGACGGATTGTGTTTCATAGTTTATCTCCCACTGTGCCTACAACTCGTGCCTGTTACTTAATGAATCCTGAGCAATTTGAATAATTAAAAATAATGTAATGCTTTCAAAGAGATGACAGAAACCACCCTGTGGCTATAGTGATACTTTTTTAAAATTATTATTATTATTCCTGTTAGTTTTTGAATCTATTTCAAAGCTCCAGGGTTTTTTTTTTTTGAGGAATTTTTTTTTATTATGTTATGTCAGTCACCATACATTTCATCATTAGTTTTTGATGTAGTGTTCCATGATTCATTGTTTGCATATAACAGCCAGGGCTCATCGAAATACATGCCCTCCTTAATACCCGTCACCAGGCTAACCCGTGCCCCCACCCCCCTCCCCTCTAGAACCCTCAGTTTGTTTGCCGGAATTCTCTCATGGTTCGTCTCCCCCTCTAATTTCCCCCCCTTCATTCTTCCCCTCCTGCTATCTTCTTCTTCTTTTTTTTTCTTAACATATATTGCATTATTTGTTTCAGAGGTACAGATCTTTGATTCAACAGTCTTGCACAATTCACAGCGCTCACCATAGCACATACCTTCCCCAATGTCTATCACCCAGCCACCCCATCCCTCCCACCCCCACCACTCCAGCAACCCTCAGTTTGTTTCCTGAGATTAAGAACCAGGGTTTTTTGAAATGTGTGGAGACCATGCATGCAGTAAAAGGCCTGAACTCTGTTGCTGTGGTAATGCAGGGAGTTTTGTATATTTCCAATATTATTAAAAACAATAATGCAATTTATATCTTCCAGCATGATAACAGCTTAAATAGGCTTACTTGTCAATTAAGAATTACAGCACTAGCATCTAATTTATTATTCAGGAAAGTGTGTGTGTGTTTTAAGAAATTAAGGATTTTGTAAATTAGACATTTAAAAATTAGTACTGGGAGGGAAATATTTGTAAATCATATATCTGGTAGGGGACTCATATCCAGAATATATAAAGAGTTATTACAACTTAACAATAAAAATGTACATTACCCAATCAAAAAGTGCTCAAATTTTTGTATGCACATTTCTCCAAAGAAGATATACAAATGACCAATAAGCAAATGCTTATTATCATCAAGCTAAAAAATGCTTAGTATCATTAAGCATTAGGGAACCCTAAATCAAAACCACAATGAGAGCCACAAAAACAAACAAACAACCAAACAATTGGACCCCTCATACATTGCCAGGGGGATATAAAAATGACAAATCTTTGGAAAACAGTTTGACTATTCCTCAAATTATTAAATATAGTTTTACCATGTAACCCAGCAATTTTACACTAGTGTAACTATTCAAAGGAATTGAAAACGTATATCCTCACAAAAACTTCTACACCAGTGTTGGCAGCAGCATTATTCATGAAAATCAAAAAGTAGAAGCAACCCAAATATCTGTCAGCTGGTAGATGAATGAACAAAATTGGTATATCCATACTATGGAATATTACTCAGCCATAAAAAGGAATGAGGTACTGATGTATGCTAAACATGGATGAGTCCTGTAAACATTATGCAAAGTGAAAAAAGCCAGGCACAAAAAGCCACATTTTTTTTATGACTTCACTTATATGAAATGTCTGGAATAGAAAATTCCATAGAGACAGAAAGTAGATTAGTGGTGGCCAAGGATTGAGGCAGGGAGGGAAACAAATTGAAAGTGATTTCTGATAGGTATGAGCTTTTTCTTTTGGGTGATGTTCTATGTTCTAAAATTAGGTAGCAAGCATAGTTGCACAATTTTGTGAATACACTAAAAAACACAAGATTTACACTGTAAAAGGTTGAATTTTATGGCATATAAATTGCATATCATAAAAGCTATTAGTAAAAAAATATATAGAACAAGGGATTCAGAAAAAAATGGTCTAAAATGCTTTCTGGGGTAAAAATACTTTTGGAGGAGGGGCAATAGTGGAAAAAAGATTTGAGAAACTTTGTTCTACAGATTACTGAATGAGAGCTGGTTTTGATTTTTGATTATTGGTTTTCTTTCCTGTATACCTCTTAATATCTTATTTTGAGCATAAAAATTGAGTAAAATGGTGAAAAAATCAGTGCTTCCACAGATTTTCTGTGACATGTATTCTGTTTTACTTTAGAATAATCACGAAATGATCTTACATTTCTGTACGAGAAATAAAAATCCCTTCCTGGCTGTTGGTGATAAAACTTTTGTTTCTTTTTTCTCTGAGGCGTCTCAATAATAATGAATTCACAGTGTTGGAAGCTACAGGAATCTTCAAGAAACTTCCACAGTTACGTAAAATGTAAGCTGTGCATTAGCCACCTTTTAAAATTTCTGTGGTGTTCTGTTGTGTTTTTCAAATCCCTGTGCGATTTTATTCAGATTTCTTTGGAAATTGGAAACTATAAAAGATGTGGAGAAATTGACTACAATGACTACCTGTGACATGAATTTAGGGTAATTTCTGAGAAGAACCTGAGTAATCACCTCTTTTCTATGTATTCAAGGATGTCAACCACATTTTCTGTAGCAAAGCCCTCGCATCTTACTTTAATTCAGACAGCTGGTTTGTTATGTGGCCACAGCAGGAATTCGGCAATCTAAGCTCATTAGAAATGGGTTCAGTAGTGTTTTGTAACTTCCTTTACTATTCCCTAAACCATGCTGTTATATCTCTTTCAGCACATTCGTGTCAACTATTTGACTTTTTGCTTCATTAAACTTTCATTAGAAGATAGTCAGAATTAATGATTGGTAACTGGCTTGATAGCTCATCTGTGTTACTACATATTCACAACTCATATTTTAAAATAAGTTTATAAACTCAGCAGTTCCAACAGCAGTCAGGCAGTATTCTCCCCTGAGGAAGAGGGAGGGAGGGACAGAACAGAGATCAAGCATGTCAGGCCAATGGAACAACCTTCATATAAGAGGAAACATCAAAAGGAGAAAAGGAGTGTTGCTTTGTAATATCTGTGCTTTTCTATGTGTGAATGGCCCAGGGTCACATTGACTATCCGTGGCAGAGCAGACTACGTCCTGTGCACTTGAACCCCATATTATACTGCCTCCCAAAGAGTTTCTTATTGTTTGATTGTTCTCATTTTCAGTGACATCGATTGCCCTTTCGTTTTATTCATACCTTTAGATTCACCACATATTTATGGAGCAACTATTGCATGCAATGTTCTGAGAGGAATAAAATGATCCATAAAAATGACCCTTGTTCTGGGGGCATTCCTGGTCTTGGAGTGAACAATGAGAAAGAGAAAAAATAGAGCCTATAGGAAGGTGTTACCTCACCTGGATATTTTTGCCCTTTGGCCAAGCATTGTCCTGTTTTGTATCATACAAATATGGACAGTTAAGTTGGATGTTTTGATACATGCTTACAATGAGAGGTTTAACTGGGAACAAACCCATATTCAGATACGTTTCTGATGTGATCTAAATGCTCACACACTTAACCCATCCTTCTTCTTTCTACACAACTGCCTTCTTTTAGTCATTAATTCATTCAATAATTTTTATCAGGGGCACTTATTTTAAAAGTTCCTTATCAAGTTTTGTGCTGAACATTAAGGTTTATAAAACTCAATACCAGACCTCAAGAACTTTATATTCTTGGGGACTCTTGTAGATATTTTGACATGGATTGGGCTGGTATTTTTCACCACCCACCTTCTCCCTCAGTACTATCATCAGTTTGACTTGATAAAAGAATAGAAAGTGGTGTCTTTTCAGAGCCTCTGGTGTGTTGGGCAGTGAAGAGCTTGGAAATTATGAAAGACCTTGTTCCCTAGAAGAAAAGGATCAAACATGTTGTCTCAGTGCCCTCGTTGTTAGAAATAGCTTAAAATCTTGTTTCAACAATTTTTTTTATTTAGAAACTTTAGCAACAATAAGATTACAGACATTGAAGAAGGAGCATTCGAAGGAGCTTCTGGTGTCAATGAAATACTTCTCACGAGTAATCGCTTGGAAAATGTTCAGCATAAGATGTTCAAGGGATTAGAAAGCCTGAAAACTTTGTAAGTATTCTGATCTGCATAGTGACCCTTACAGTATTGTAGTTCGCTGGTCAGTATAATTCCGGGCTGGGGAATAGTGCGGACTTCTCACCCTCCCATCTCTGTCTCTGTCTCTCACAAACACACAAACACAAAACACACGCACACACACACATTTTGTGCATGCAAACATTCCCTGACTCGAATGCCCCTGACTTCGGTGTGTTGCTTTACAAAGATCAAAAATGTCTCCTGGCTGCTGCCGATTCCTCAACAAAAAAAAGGTTGCCCTTCTTCCAATGCTGGTACGGATCTCTCCCCCGCCCCACCCCATTCTGCTTCAGAATGTTCATCCTCTTGCATTTTCCTCAGCCTCCATCTAACATTCACTTTTGGCCCCTGGGCTTGAGCTTCAGAATCCAATCCAAACCCTGTGGCAGAATAACTAACAGTTTATCTGGAAACCACCTTCTTTCACTCCTGTGAAGACTCAGTGAGAAAGAGAGACTGACTCATGGTAGATCTTGTACTATCTATTTCACAGAAACATGCTAAGAGGTATGTCTACGAGCTCAGGGGTAGGGAAGTTAGGAAAAAGAAATTCTATATGTTTCCAAAAATGTTGTTGGCCAAAGAGGACAGGGATTGGATTGAATAGCAAAAACAACACTTTGTTACTTGAATTTTCTACAGTGCATATATTTAGTTTTTATGATCTCTAAAGTATATATTATGTTTGACAAAAGTGGCAACCTAAAAACTGGAAGAGACACAGCCCAAAACTTGGAAGCCTTTGGAAGTTGTGAAGGAAACTACTTGTAACCAAAAAGCTGCTGATGGTGATTGCAGTGGAGAGAGGTCCAAGCTCCGCCATGTCTCTAAACCATCACCCCGCCCCCTCAGAGCCACAATCAGGGTGACTGATCGCCGAGAAGGCCCCTGCCTGCTCAATATCAGATGCAGAAGGAGAAGACCATTTCCCCAGCCAGTGTGGATGCGTTCATGGCTTCCTAAATTCAAATCCTCCTGAAAAATCTCTGCCCGTGTACGTAGATGTGTGCTCCTTGAGCTTCACAGGGAGAGTGTGGCATTTAACCTCCAGCAGGACCAGCCCAGCCTGCAACCCTTCCACAGACTAACTTGAGCCCCTTCAAAATGTTATGCAAATATTCCTTTAGTCTTTTTATGGAGGAGATACTGAGGAGAGGAGAGGGGAGAGCAGAGAAAATGTACCCCAGGTGGATCCATCTACTCCCGCTCTCCTCCCCCCACCACCGGGCTGCCTCCGGCAACTCAGCAAAACAGGAATCCAGCAAGCAGAAGCCTCCTTTGTTGGATACTAGTTGGGGGACTACTTACAGGAACCTTCTCTTTGGAAGGGGCAGCATGAGGGATGGGGAGAGGTGGGGAAGGAGGTGGAAGGAGTCTGTATCCCACCTACCGTTAGTCTGCCTTGGGCTGCCATAACAAGATACCACAGACTGATGATTCAACAACAGAAATTTGTTTTCTCACGGTTCTGGAGGCCAGAAATCCAAGATCAAAGTACTGAGAGGGCTGGTTTCTGGCAAGATCTCCTCTTGGCTTGTAGATGGTGCCTTCTCACTCTGTTCTTATATGGTCTTCCCATGTGTGCGGAGAGAGCGAGCTCTTGGTGTGCCTTCCTCTTCTTATAAGGACGTGAGTCCTAACAGAATAGGGTCCCACCCTTGGGACCTCATTTAACCTTAATTACCTCCCTCAAGGCCCTCTCTCCAAATATAGTCACTTGGGGGTTAGGGTTTCAACGTATGAATTTTAGAGCACAGAGTCAAGTCCATAACACCGACCTAGGCAGCTCATTAAAGTGTTTTTTTCTGACTAGTTCCATTCACAGGACTCTCCCTGAGACAAGTCCTCCTTCATTATATTTCTAGCAATGTTTTTGTGCCTCATATTTGGCACCTAAGACAGATGCCCCTGGCTGTCTCCTTCAGCCACTCTGCTACACAAGAATAATAGAGCATTTTAGAGCCAAGCTCAGAGTATTCAAAGGACAAAAGTAGGTTTGTCTAGACATATGTATTTCTCCAAGTGGTATCTCTCGGCTTCGAACTGTGAAGATTGTGACAAGGCGCCCCCACTATCCCTAGACATCTTAACTCTGTAGGACTAGTAAACCTCTTAGTAGTACGTGCACAGATTTCAGTGAGGCTGAATATTTGACGTTGCAGGCAAAATGTAGTACCTGTGTGTGCTTCGGGATTTTTCTAGCAACAGAAAGCAAAGCTTTCTTCAGCTTCTCCCAGGGGTCCGTGACTTCACCAAGATTAAGACCAAGTATTCTTCGTTACTTAACAGCAAATGATAGTGCTGCTAGAAATACCTTTCTGTTGTGTATTTGCTTCCGAACATAAAGTGATGCCTTGATAAGGACGGCATCATTCTTTCTGTCTGTGACTTAGCAGATCGCCAAAATTGATATTTCTTATTTATTTCTATAGATAAGATAAAATTCTAGAATTTTAAAGGAACACTCTGTTATTCATTTCTTTTTGCCTCTCTGTTTTATATACTGCAATCTTCTAGAAGGGTAGGGTGGTCTACACATGTCTAGAAAAATTAAGGGAAATAACTTTTCAGCCTTATTTCTCAATTAGATTCATGGCAACTATTCATTTTTACGTGGGGGCTTTTAAGAAATTTTTCATTCCTTTTCTAAGGCCCACAAATAAACAGTTCAACGGAGAATTAAGAATGGAGCCAAAACTTCAGCAGGGACGAGGAAATAATCCTCTTAATGGCAATGACTAAAAAATGTTTAAAAAAGGTCAGAATTCTTTCAAGAGAAGCGTATTTAAACTTCACTGTGAACAACTGGAATCTGTTAATGATCGCCTCTTTTTAAGTTCCAAACTTTAAAACAATAATTTTCATAAATAATTTGTGCAAGATTTGTGGGTGCTCCATCTCATTTGGGTTCCCCAGCCCGTGCTGACATTAACTTGGCCTGTGAGTCCTTGAGGTGCCCTCAGTTCTCCATCCGCTGTGACTATTGATTCTTCTCGGCTTCCTCTCTGTTAAACCTCCGATGTAATGCTACCGTGGATACACAGATCACGGGGCTTCAAGGGCTCAGAGAGCTGTAGGTGAATTGGGACATTATGTAATCAGGCAAACACAGTTACAGCATCAGAGGAAAGAACATTCTAACCTCATCAGAGGGGAGATGGGGCCGGGAGTCCACGCGAGGCTCACCGATCTCTTCTGTAGCGCAGTGTGATCATTGTAAGCTACGCATTTTATTCTCGCGCAACTGTTGGTGTACATCCGCAGTGATGCCTAATGACAAGAGATCATTCGGAAACCAGTTAACGAATGTTGCACATTTGCAAAGAGGGGTTATTTGGGTCCTCGGTTAGGCAAAGCGGATTGCTTGATGCTTTCTCTCCATAACCATGTTCTCTTTTCCCTCAGGATGTTGAGAAGTAATCGTATAAGCTGTGTTGGCAATGATAGTTTCATAGGACTGAGTTCTGTGCGTTTGCTTTCTTTATATGATAATCAAATTACTACCATCGCACCAGGGGCATTTGATACTCTCCATTCTTTATCTACTCTGTAAGTATGAAGGATAGTGTTCATTTATGCATGACTGACCCAGTGTATTATATTTCTTATTTTTATTAATAGCATTTTAATGCATTATTAGGCATTTCACAAAAATGTGATCAAGTGTTTATGGATCGACAAAATGTGTCCATGTTAAGGTTATTTTAATTTTTCTAAAAATATTACCTACTATCTTATATTAAAATTTAGCAAAACTTTAACTATTTTTCCATTGACTCTTTTATAATAATGTGATGTGGCTTCATTTATAAATTTTCATTTTATTATAACTTGATGGCACTGCACATCACAGAAATGCTGTAGATTTTCTCTGGTGTTCTCACATTGGAGTCTTTTCAGCCCAAGTATCATAAAAACAGAGCTTGATAGGGACATTGCCAACAAACCATGCTCAGAAGGATCATTCGCCGTGACAGGAGCTACATTAGGATGACCAGACCAACAATAAAAACTGTTCACTAGAGGGCATTTACTATGATATTAGGAAAATATTGAAGAAATAGGTTGAGCCTGTCCAAGAGGATATTTTATGTAGACAGTTAGAAAATAAAGAATATTTGTTAGTCTATAGACACTCAGAAGGTGTTTTTTTTTAAGCCCTCTAAATAATGTATTTCAGTTCTCTTATATGTCAGTATCTAAAAAGCAATGTTTGAGATGATAAATCTTATAACAGATTTGATTTCCTAGTAATGATGGCATCTAAATATACTAATCTAACTCAAAAGGTAGTTAGAAAGAAAAAAAAATGTCCAACATAAGTCACTGAAGAAATAATTTGAGGGAAGCATCCATCCATCAGTAAAGTACTTAATCCTCTTTCCACATAAAATGTGACACTTTACATCGAGTGACTAATTTGTGCATGTTAAAGATAGCATGTTTATAAATAATAAGGTTGTCAATAGGTTTGTGCTGAAGTGGTGAGATGCCAAAAGTATTGAGATTTGTAGAAGTAAATTCATTTTTATAACTGGCATTTAATCAACTCAGCTGTCAGTTTAGATGGGAAACCTATTCTCTGGAGCAAATAAGAGATGGAAATCTTGAAATGACAAATTAATGAAATAGCTGTTGTCAGGTTAAACTCAATAATATAAGGTAATCAGCCTTCATCTTTATATTAAATTACTGCATTATCAGTGGAGGGAAGTTTGACAGCAAGTCAGATCGCTGATGAGTTTAAATTATCTCTAAATGAGATCTCTATCAGGATCCACTGCGTAAACCCCAAAATTGCTGCCTTTGCTTTATTTTCCACATGAAATTATTTGAAGAATTCTTATGTAAAAGTGTTGTTATTTTTTTAAGTTCCAAACGTACATATTTTAGCCAAAAAAAAATGCATCCTGTATGGTGTGTATGATTATGAATGGGGGAAAGAGATGGGGAGGGGCACGGGGAATACAAAGAATGAGAAGGAATCATTGCAGCAGGAAAAGTGTGGGGGAAAATGGTAGCATGGGGTTTTGAGAAGGAACAAAGCGAAACCCTAAACTCAACCCTGCCTTGTTTGCATGCGGCTCTTAGAAACCTGTTGGCCAATCCTTTTAACTGCAACTGCTACCTGGCTTGGCTGGGTGAATGGCTAAGGAAGAAAAGAATTGTAACTGGAAATCCTCGCTGTCAGAAACCATACTTCCTCAAAGAAATCCCCATCCAGGACGTCGCCATTCAAGACTTCACCTGTGATGATGGTAAGAAAGCCTTGCTAAATCTTCCGGCACCAAGCGTTCATGTGACCCATCTGATGCTGTGGGGCCCAACTAGAACAGTGTGTCCTAGTTCAGGCAACAGATAGTTTTGTGCCTTTTTTGCTTTTGCTTTGTTTTGTTTTGTTTTGTTTTAGAAACAGGGCACATACTTCCTCAGATTTGCTTTCACATCCACGTCCCTTTGATTTGTGTTTCTGAATGTTTTATTTAAATTTTCCAGTTTCCAACTTGTGGTTGGTACTATTTATGTAGTTTCATTTTAACTTTATTATTCTATGCCTCTCTTTTAGTAACTGCCATTTTCAAAGGAGAAAAGCAATTGACTTAAGAAAATAGAAATTCTAAGAAACCTAACGAAAATAACAGTTTTCACTTTTTAATGCTCTGTATGTATCACCATATTTGATTCTCGTAATAGCCTTGTAAGGTAGCAGGTTTTGTTATTACTGCCAGGGAATGGAGAGCCCCTTTGAGCCTTATATTTTAAAATGGGGGGCCTGTACATTATCTGCTAAACACTTTACCCCCTTTATGTCACTTCATGTCTGTGTCCTTATAATTTCTCCATAATTCAGTGTAAATTTACATACTCTTATTATAAGTGTAATTTGTATAAATAACCGAACAAAGAAAATTACTGTTATGATTGGAGGGATGGTATAAATAGTGAGTTATTTTCTGGAATTCGGCCCTAGGCAGTCTGAAAGCGGTGCTGTATCCAATGGATGGCATCAATTTGTAAACATTCCATGTGCTGTGTGTACCGAAGTGAGCTCGTGGCTCAAGACTCTTTTGTTTGTTAAGCTAAAAGCATAACATCCCTTCTTGCATTTTCAAAGCCACACATCTGGGTTTTCCTGTATTTCTTTTGGCAAATCAGGCAATGATGAGAGTAGCTGTTCTCCACTCTCTCGCTGCCCCACGGAATGCACATGCTTGGATACAGTGGTCCGATGCAGCAACAAGGCCTTGAAGGTCTTGCCCAAAGGTATTCCCAGAGACGTCACTGAATTGTAAGTAGAGCTTGCCTTTCTGTTTCCTTAACAATTAATATTTCAACAGGGAAAATGGAAACCAAACAAAAATCTTCAGAGTCCTATTTCCAAATTCTATTCTACAGGCCATTAAATAGTATCATGTAAAACCCAAAACAGATAATATAAAAGCCAATTTAGATACACTTGGGAAATGCTGGTTGTGTGTGTTTCTCTGTTATTCATTGTAGGATTTCTCAGTGTCTATATTATGCTAAGGTGCACTGTGAAGCTCCAAGAGAGGGTGGTAAAATATAAGATAGCTCCCATATGTTTGTCCCTGTAGTCCTTTTCTCATGGACCATCTTGCAAGACTCATGTTCCATCAAATACACCTTGGGAAATGCTGTATATTTAATTTATCTACATTGTCTGGGATATTCCATATGGTTAATTATTCTTTACCACTGTGTCCACTGGGAGAATAGCTTCCCACATGGGATACATAAATATCTAGGATGTAGAAGAAACTGGCATAATCTTTATCCTTAAAAAAGACGTACTGCCCTTTGGACTTGAATAAGAATCCTTTAGATCATGAAGGGTGTGGAGCCAATTATCCCTAACATTTTCATATCTGATATATGACCACAGATGACCTGGTCAGTGTATACTCATCTAGATACCAAGCACCATGAACACTTTCTTAGCTGCCTCGTGTTATATATGTGGAATGGAATAAATCCAAGAACAAGCTGCTTGAATAATATGATGCATGTGTGCTCCATTCCATTACGTAATCTGCATACTAATATACCAGGAACAAATGCTTGGTATGAGTGCAGTTGAGTCATTTTGCCTCTGTTTATATTTTTCTGGGTGGAACTATACATCAAAAATGATTTGAGTTCCAATGTAATTTGTGCAGATGTGTCCCTATAATTCATGCCCATGTGTGCAAGCATTCTAAATGAGCAGCTTTGATAAACTTTTGGCAACGTGGAACATAGGTAATGAGTCTCAAGAAGATGTCACTTCAGTCATCAGAGGACTTATTTGCAAATCATGTGCAGTTCTATGAACCCTAATTTGGTCCTGAATTGAACACTTAGGGGAAAAGAAGGTGTGATCTTAGCGCACATACACAGAAGGTCCCTCTTAGATGTGAACTGCTATGAAGTGTTAAGTTTCTCTCTCGTGCTGCCAGTCACAGTTGTTAATTGACTATAAGCACTACTTTGTGTGTGTGTAATTAAATACTTAATTCTTATTTTAATAAGTGTTTATTTCAGAAGATTACTCTCCATCCAGCTAGATGCCTTTAGAGTATTCTGTATGCACAGCATTGATTCTGGGAACACCCCAGCCAAGAACACAACACTCAGCATAACCAGATTATCTTGAACTCGGAATCCCTTCTTTTTACCTGGCCGATTACCTTAGTGCTTCTCCCCCTGATGCCTATCAAATAATTTTAAATGTTCTTTAATTTCCTTATTAAACTACATCTGAGATCCTTCTTGATTCATATCCTGTCTATGCCATCCATGTGTTTCTTCTTTCAGACAGTTGAATCTTCAATGTGTTTCTTTACAAAGTATTAAAAAGTAGTATTTTTCTAAAGAAATATGTTACAGAGATGAGGAAAATATTAACTCATCTCTTGTGAATTCTAGTTTTACCTCCCCAAGAGCTTATTCTTAGAATCATACAAAGTCAGCAGGATCCTTCTCTACAATCAGGTACATGCATGTATTAGAAAAATTTCATTGCATATTATATTAAATTACTAAAGAATTTTGCAAATTAAGGACATATTAGTGGACAGTTTTGAACAAATGGTATCTCTTATTTTTAATCAGTTCCATATAATTTCCCTCTTAGATTGTTTTACATGTAAACATCCATAGCATACATTCTGAATCCTTTTAGCTTTCTGTTATGACATTTTCCAGAATAAAGGGAGAATACTGAAGTCTATGGGATTATGCTTCCCTCTAGTGGTACCAAGAAATATGTAGGTGGAGGAAAGAAAGAAGTAAAAGAAATCCGAAGGCAGAAAATTTGAGCGGGCGTGAATTAGAAGTCATAACACATGCCCTCTTCTTATTCCCATATTTAATACATATTTTGATAACTTGTGCCTTTTAGATAACTTTTTATTTTGAACTATTTGAAATAAATTATTATCTGAGGCAATTTCTCAGCTACTTCTGTATCCAGCAAAAATACAAATAACCTCAACCTTAGATCTCAAGATGGACCACGACACTGGGGGAGGAGGTGCCCTCTGCCAGGGGGTCAGAATTGTTTGTGAGCACATCTACAGCCAGACAGCCCACGTTGCTGAAAGACATTTTAACCTTCATTGTCTATATTCTGGGAAAATACAGCCTTGTTTGAGATGGAGTTTTTCTTTTTGTGACATTATGGACGGAACCTAAAGCATTCATTCATTTTTATGCCTTGCTGGTTAGCCCAGTGTCTATCTATTTTCAGATTATCCTGCTGACTTTAATCAGAAAAGGAAACTTCACATATATGTGGTTATTTGATTATTACTTTTACATATATACGTTGTATTTGTGCCTTTGATAAAGGTTGTGATTTTCTGTAAAACCTTCTAAAATTATTATCACAAAGCAGATATACAGTGGTTAAAAACTATTTTTAGGTTATTTTTAACTGAAATCTAATTCGAAATCCTAAGTATCTCCTTTAAAGCATAGATTGTTATTTGCTAAGTGTATGGATCCCTATTAAGGTGGTGAAGAGTGGTCTTGCCCTCAGTAGCAAGGTTCTGTCAGTAGTGAATGCATTTCATGGTATTGTCCCCACGTAAATAAGAGCAGACTGGAGGCTGACGGAAAATATGGTTGATTGAATGAACCTTCTTCTTGACGCACAAATGGTTGGACACGTGGTTCGTGTCATTACATAAACCACAAAGAATTGGGCTCACCAGTCTCTCCTTGGTTTTATAATTTACACTAAGTGATTCCATAAAATAATTCTACTGGATTGGACAACTGCGCCTTTTTTTTTTTTCATTTACTTCTTTTAAATAACAATCCCAGCTAGAGCGAACGTGATGTCTTAAAGCCAGAATTGCGAAGTGCTTCCTTGCCTCAGTTAAAAGTGAAACTAATTAATGCCACAGCATTGTTCCTTTAAAAAAAGATAATACTGTTTCCTTGTTTTTAGGTATCTGGATGGGAACCAATTTACATTGGTGCCTAAGGAGCTCTATAACTACAAACATTTAACACTTATGTAAGTAACGTATTGTATTTTTTTCCATCTTTGACTTATTCTAGTTCACCAAGATGGGGGTAGCAAGGGGCAGAAGATTTAGTGAACCTTTCAGATAATATAAATCATTTACAGTTAGATGCTTCCCTCCTTCCTCATTGCGGTTCTGGATCACTAGGTGCATCTTCATTGAGTATCAGTCAGGCAGTGGTGTGTCTTAGAGAAAGGACCTCCTCGATTCAAAATACAAATATGATAAAGTCTAAGTATCAGAGAACTAGAGAAATGCAGTAAATTCGATACTTCTACTGATAATGAACATGGGCTATTTTATGACAAGCCAAGAAAAGAAAGAAAGAGAGAAAGTAATGGCTTTATTCTTCTTGACTTTAAGCAAAAGATTGTGGATGATAATAACTTTACTCATAATACATTTTATTAGGTTTGATTTCCTTATATAATACGCTCTAAGTTAAGTTATGGATTTCCAGTATTCGAATTTAATTTTATAAAATTCATTTTTAATTCCACAGTATTTAAGTAAACTTGACAAAGATGCTGACATTCTGAGCATAAATTTCAGCACTGACTTTTCACTTGGCTTTGATGCCCTCGTAAAATAACATCTCTCTTTTTCATCAGTGTAAATGATTTTTAAGTGATAATACAAGATTATATTTAAATATACCAACATTTCGATCTAGTTATATGCACAATATTTTTAAAGAGATAATCTTACTGTATATAATGTCATACTTAGAGTAGCCTTGCTGGTAATTGATAAAGCTTCTCAAAAAACAAACAAACTAAAATAAGCAACAGGAGTAAATATAAAGGGAAATACTTTAGTTTAAGTCCTGTCTTTTTTTAGAATAAATATGGCTGGCTGAGGAGGCCAATTTCTAGTGTTCCTACAATAAGGAGGTTGATCCCTAGTTAGTGAATTCTAGAAATGTAAGTCACAGAAAATGTTACATTTTTCAATGTAATCTTGGCCCTAGGAAGGTTGTGGTTGGTTAAAACACTGTTAATCCTTTTCAGTTTCCCTTAAACATGCAAGAAAATCACTTTGTAGAAAGTATGTAGGACTGTTTAAATGACAAATGATTAAATTAAGAAAGAGAGAATATCCCCTAAGATGTCTTGTTCTGCCTGCCTCTCATTCGTTACTTATTTAGTAGCAGCAGGAACTGATTACATACATTTTGTTCTGTTAAATAAACCATTAAATTGCTGCAATTTCCGGAGGGTCACCTCGGCAGAACTGGGTCATTTATGGGACACTATGCAATTATTTAAGACCAGTTTGGAAATGAAAAATGAGCATTTGTAGATCCAGAAATGGCTTTATACCAATGACTCATTTATGCTACTCTAGGCAAATAACTGCTGCTAACATAGGCACACTTATTTACTTTCTGAATTTAGGGATAGTACTTCAGCAGCCAAGAAGATGGATCATGAAGCTCCTATAGCATTCCTATCATTTCTCAAGTTGTATAGGTTCATTTTACTGATATTTTGGTCATTTTAATAAAGGAATGGATAATCTTAGGTTCTTTTGCATTTTACATTTATTTATATATTTTGCTTTAGGAAAAAGTAGTGAATATACAGACATACAGTGATCATAAACCATGACCTAGAATTTTTCATTTATTCATAAATCTTCCTTTTATTTATGTATTTAGCATTCTGCAGTAGAGAAAAATCAGTGAATATATACATATCACTCTATGACTATGTGTATTATATACTCACTCATTTCTTCCTATTGCAAAATTGCCAAAGATACATAATAGGCCATTATATATTATATATTATTATATTGCATTATATTGCAATATAATTATAGTCACAATATGTATTACATGTGTCATGTCATATATAGTCACAGATATATATAATAAAAAGAAGATCAAGTTCACTGAATATAAATCACAGCCTGTAGTACCAGTTATACTTGGCTATAAATAGCCATGTAGCATTGGTTAAAAAACCCACATCTCTCTTATTTACTTATTAATTAAACCGATATTTATTGAGGACCTGTGTGTTGTGTGCCAGTGACTTTGCCAAGGGCAAAGTTTTTCATTATGGCATTGCAAATGTAATCAAATGAATGCTTTTAGTTATCAAATTTGCCTGTGTGTACCAGGGAAGCTAAAGGATATGAAACCAATGGAACGTTCAAGAACAAAGGTGTATCTCTCATACATGAAATGTGTCCATTATGAGGGCCCTCCCCATGTCTTTGCTCTGGGACCAGGACGCAGGCCCTGGCTGTGGAACGTCACAAGTCTTGCAGAAGAGCAAGCAGAGGGCAATACGGGAAGCGTGAGCTTGTTCTAACCTTCAGTTCTGAGGTGGCCGTACTCCCTTCAACTGGCCAAAGCAAAACATCATCACTTCTACTTTCAACAGGCGAGGCGTGAATAATTATGACTATTACAATCCATCCCAGGGGTTATCCAGTGTTTGGTTATTTTCAGGTAGAAGCTGAGTGCTGGCAGTGCCCCGTGATCAAGCAAGAAGAGCCTTCTCTTTGGAAGAATCACTAATATTTCACCTTCTCTGGTAACAAGTTCACCCCATTTGTTTCTCTTTTCTCTTGTAGAGACTTAAGTAACAACCGAATCAGCACCCTTTCTAATCAGAGCTTCAGCAACATGACCCAGCTCCTCACCTTGTGAGTATGAAAATCAGGTCCTGAATATTTATTAATTCACTGGACAAAATGCATTTTCCAGGCACTTGGACATTCTCTGTTAACAAGACAGATAGAGCCTGCCCTCAATAAATATAAATATTGTTGGGAGAAAGAGACAAGAACAACCTCAATTAACAAACAACTACAGATATTATAAAAACCTGTTGGGTTCCAGAAAAGAAACAAAGAATAATTTACGTTTGTGGTGGGGTTGGGAGAGATCCTTAAGAAGTCTGTCACCTGAGGGAGGGAATAGTTGAGGCATTAGCATCAGCCGGGGCAGGAAGCATTCTAGACTGTATTTAGAAAGAAATATGCTGTATTACTGAAAACACAGTCACAAAATACTGTACATCAATATTCCCAGGTTATAAAATGCTGAAACAACCTTTTTTTTAGCCTTTTTATTTTTAAAATGACATTTGGCCATTTGGGGGTATCTGAGTAAAACAAATCTGCTATGTATGCTTTCAGAATTCTTAGTTACAACCGTTTGAGATGTATTCCTCCTCGAACCTTCGATGGCTTGAAGTCTCTCCGATTACTGTAAGCATCTTATGGTCAACAAAATATCTCTTATCTCAGGGATCTGAGTTTGGCTTGTGTTTTTTACCGATTTAACTGCTTTTTTGATCCTTGGGCATTTTCAGACATATACATTAGGATTTACTACAAATTTGGAAATAGGAAAATTACATCTTTTCCTGTATCACTACTCTACAGCCTTTATTTGGATGACACCACATTGTTGCTGTAGTCATTGATTTGGTAATAGATAATAATAATACACAGATCCAACTCATTTTGAACAAAATACAAGACATTTTAATTTCTTTAAAAATTACATAATCAATGAGTACATTTTTACTATTAAAGCGTATTTTATTTTATTTTAAAGATTTTATTTATTTGACAGAGAGGGAACACAAGCAGGGGGGAGTGGGAGAGGGAGAAGCAGGCTTCCCACTGAGCAGGAAGCCCGATGTGGGGCTCAATCCCAGGACCCTGGGACCATGACCTGAGCCGAAAGAAGATGCTTAACAACTGAGCCACCCAGATGCACCTAAAATGTATTTTAAATATATGAAGTGAGACATGATTCCCAATCACAATCCCCTCCCCCAGAATTAATAAACAGTTTTATGTTGTCTTCTGTCCCTTTTTATATGCATTTGCTTTTAGATGCTGATACATGTATGCACACGGCTCTACACTTTCTAAACAAGCATAAATAGGATTTGTTCTTGTTCTGTCATCGGCTTTTATTTGACAATATGCTTTACAGTATTTCCATTCCATCATATAAAAATATTCCTTAGCTGTTTAACTTGTACAAGAGTATTCCATAGGATGAAGGAACCATAGCTTACTTAATCATCCCCATCTTTAACTCTCATGTGGTGGTTTTTGGGTTTGGGGGAAGTTTTTTGTTATTCTTAAGGGGGGGGGAAGGGAAGAGGGAAAGATTGAATCTTAAGCAGGATGAATGCCCAGCACAGAGCCCGACATGGACTCAGTCTCACAATCCTGAAATCATTACCTGAGCTGAAATCAAGAGTGAGACGCTTAACCGACTGAGCCACCCAGGTGCCCCAACTGTCATGTGGTTTGAGTCCAGATTTTCATTATTCCATACTGTGCTGGAATGAACATCCTACACATTCATCTTACTGTCAAGTGTGTTGTGAGGATACCAAAAGTAACTGTCAGGTTTTCCCTCCAAAACAAGAATTTGTCAGTTTACAAACTTATTTTCCACCAACTCTCTTTTAGTAGAGTACTGTTACAAAGCACTCTGGAAAGTATTGAATGGTATTAATCCTTTCATTTTTGTTCTCTGACAGATTGAGTACCTATTTTAATGGAGTACCTATTTCAAAGCACTCTGGCGAATATGGAATAATATTAATAGTTCTATGACAGATTGAACATTATTTTCCATTCCTATTTTAATTTGAAATTCTAATAACTAGAGCATTTGTGTATATTTTATTTTTTTATTGATTACTTGTGTTTCTTATTCCATGGGCCTGATCATATCATTTCTGATTTTCTATTGGGTACCTTGTCTTTTCCTTATTCACATACATTTCTTTATGCAGCTACTACTTCACTCTAACTTTGCAGGTCTTTTTAACAAGTGAATTAATCCTTGTATCTTATATATGTTGTCAATATTTTCCATTCTGTTCCTTATATGTTATCTTTCATATTATGGATATATTTTGTGTTGTCAAAAATGTGTTACTCTTTTCCTTTATGGTTTCTGACTTTTATATGGTGCTTTGAAAGCCTTTCCCAGGACACCTGGGTGGCTCATTCAGTTAAGCATCTGCCTTTGGCTCAGGTTATGATCCCAGGGTCCTGCGGTCAAGTCCCACATCAGGCTCCCTGCTCAGTGGGGAGTCTGCTTCTCCCTCTGCCTCCTCCCCCTGCTTCTGATCTCTCTCTCTCCCTCAAATAAATAAATAAAATCTTTAAAAAAAAGAAAGCCTTTCCCATCCTGTGTTTATAAAAAGGAGCTCTTCCCTATTTTCTTTTCACATATTTTTAGTTTTGTTTTCACATTTAGCTCTTCAATCTAGAATTGACTTTATGCATATGATATGAAATAGGAAATTTTGTTTTCCCAAATAGATACCCATTTACATCAAGACTGTGTATTAAATAGATCATATTTTCTGTACTGACTTAAAATGCTTATTGTAAACTAAAGTCTCACACACGTGTGAGAATTTTTCTGAACTCTCTGACATGTAAGAAATTTAATACTTCTTTTTTTTTTTTTTTGCTTTTAGTTCATTACATGGAAATGACATTTCTGTTGTGCCTGAAGGTGCTTTCAATGATCTTTCTGCGTTATCACACCTGTGAGTACCTAGTTCGTGAATGTGGGTGTAGGGTCAAACTCACACACGGTCCTCTGCCATCTCTTCTGTTGTCACAACATGAGATGTGGTTGGCTCCATCTTTAAAGAAAATGTGAAGATTTTCAACCTACATACAGGGCTTTCAGCAAGATAGCCTTCATTTATCCTTTTGGCCCTTACTATTATCTAAAGGAGTTGAATTCTCTTTGCTTAGCTAAAATTGTCTTCTTACAAACATGGCTCTCCAGCTTCCTTGCTATGCCTTTTCTCTTAACGTTCTCTGATTTCAGAATATCAGTTCCCTTTCCATTCGGTCTGCACAAACCTTGTACTTTCCAGGTGACATTCTAAGTATCATGTCCTTTATGAAGCCTATCTTGATTTGCTCAAACTGGATCCATTTATTTAGCAAATAGTATTCAGTGCTGGCTATGGCACCATGGAAAAATAAATTAGAGATGGTTTAAGCCTTTGTAGTATGATAGCGGGGAAACTGCCAAATCCTCATACTGGGTGAAATGTTTTTTGTTTGTTTGTTTTCTTTGTGCTCTGTCTCATAACAGCCTGTTTGTATCTCCTTATTTTTGGAAAGCACAACAAAACAACATAAAAATATGTCATACACTCTTTTGGGTCAAATTCCGTTATTCCATTATTTATAAGGGTGGTGTGGAGACCATAGCAAACCTACAAGGAAGATCCAGGAACAGAGATTTAAGATCTAAGACTTTCTTAGCTCAGGGCCGGTTTGGTGCCCCCTGGTGGCAATTATGCTTCAGATTAAATAGCAGGGGCTATCAGTTGCCTATCAGTTCCCCAGAAATTGCCTGCCATATTCTCTCTTGGCTTTCTCCTCCCCTCCAAAACCCACCAAATCCCAAGAAGATACGTTTAGAAAACTGAGAAAGGGGATGGGCAGAGGATAGGAGCCAGGAGTCAATCATGCTATATCTAAACGTGCTTCATGGGACTCTGGCAATCACTGTAGGTTTTGTGTACATCTGTCTATCAGACTCTTTGGTGCCTACTGTTAATATCTCTCTCACTAAACTCTCGGGTCCCAGGAGGCAAAACCTCCACTTTTTTGTGTGTGAACCCCAGCGCCTACGTCAAAGGCGACATCGCCCCCCCCACCCCTCTACAAATTCCATGGATGTCATTTGCATGAGATACAGTGTGATTAAGCCTTCCAGCTCAGGGGTGCATAATTTGGCACTGTCTGGGAAAGTTTGCAACATTAAGAAGAAAGTAGTCATTCTGTTAGTGTTTGGGTGATCTATCCGAAAAGGCAGCTTAAGGAAGGCGCTGCCCGAGCTGAGCAGATCTTTTCCTTCCGTGAGCACCCCCCACCAACAGTAGGAGCAGTTCAAATTGTCCTTGCCATGTGTCTTGTCTGTCCTGCGTTTCTTTTATGCATTTGTCTTTGATTCTCTAGATCATAAAGAGCTCTGTTCCCTTCACTTTTTCCACTGCGTCCCTTCACATAGGAAAGACTTAGCAAATGTCAGTAGAGATGACATTAAATGACTCCAAAACATCATTTTGCTCATTTTCAATTTCAAAGAAAAGTTTGAATCTGAGCATAGCATTTACTACACTCCAATTCTTGATTAGAGTTGGGCATTAAAACTGCTACCATATAAAGTATTATGGTTTTACAAGTATATTCTGGGATTTCCTCATGAAAGAAAAGAATTAATTTTGCTTGGACTACAGACCTAGAAGCATTACTAATCACAAGTTAATTATATTTATAATTAAATCAGAATTAATCCATTTTTAAATGCCACCTTATGCATCTACTACTTGCACCAAGCTTGGCAAGTTTACAAAACCCATAGGTTGATGTCTCTGGCCTCAGTTTCTCAATCTGTAAAATGAATTATTAATACTATTGACCTCCTAGAGTTGTTATTTAGGGTAAAATGAGGTAATTCATAACAAGTGGTTCAGCACAGTACCTGCATTTTGATGTAATAAATGTTAGCTATGATCTTGATTACTTTTTCTATTACTGCTACTGCTTATGGGAGTGGGAAGCCAAGTTCTAAAATGAAGGACTTTGTAAAGGGACAGACATCTAGTGAAGGTCCAGATCCACTCTAGTGAACTAGCTCTCTGCGTCTTTATTATTTCATGCCCTTTCTTATCTTGGTCCCTTCACACTTACTGGTCCTTTACCCTGAAACATCCTTCCCAACCTTTTCCACCTCCTTAATCTAACGATGTAAAAGCTCAGGTTTTTAACCACCAGTCTCCCAGAAAATTTACCCCTCTGTTCACAGTCGCCTCATAAATACTTTTACTGTAGCACTTACTAATGCAAATTATTTGCATGTTTGAGAATGTGTTAATCACTTTCCCAGAAGCAGTTCTTTGGTGTTGAAAATAATGTATTATTTATAATTTGGGGCCCCAAAACCTGGCATAGTGATTGGGTCGTCAGTAAATCATTAGCGAATGAGGGAAGTATTAATCTGCATGTCGCGTACGCATGTACCCAATATAAACCTGTCTCTGCAAATACAAGAACACCTTGTGGAGCCCAGGTAAAATTTTTAAGGCTAGTGACAACCCCCTAAGTCCCAGCTGCCCATAAATCAGGAAAATGGGGACTCCCCGATGTCTCCATTTTCTTCTAAATTGTTATCAATACATCTGTAGGGATTTTCTCCTGAGCGCCACTTTGAGTTATGTTCCTTTAGGAAATAACAAAACATCCATACTGTGTGTGTGTGTGTGCTTCTGTGGTGTTGTTTTCCAGGGCAATTGGAGCCAACCCTCTTTACTGTGATTGTAACATGCAGTGGTTATCGGACTGGGTAAAGTCGGAATACAAAGAACCCGGAATTGCTCGCTGCGCCGGTCCTGGAGAAATGGCAGATAAATTATTACTCACGACTCCCTCCAAAAAATTTACATGCCAAGGTATGATTTTTAACGCTTTGCCCTCCTGTAAATAAAAGTTCGCTGTATTCATTTAAAAGGAAAAACATGGCTGCTAGACCTCAAAGGTACAGCTGAAAAGCCCCTAATAAATCATGGCTAACGACTAATGACTGCTTGCACAGGACCGAGCAGTTCCCTGAGGAGCCCCAGTAAAGAACCGGGTTTTTCAAATAAAAACTGCAGAAGTGATTAATTGGAAATGTCGAAGTTTTCTTTAAAATGTATGGCGAAATGAAGAGTACGCGATTTCTGGAAATTTCTTTCATAGCCTCTAACAAGTACAATATTTTGCTTTTGGCTTGTCTGAACGTGTGCCCGGCTCCCAGGGCTGCCAGGGCCCTGTGGTTTCCTGACACCAGGTAAGGAGAAGCAAGCCCTCCCAAGTGGTCGGGCCAAACCCTCTGACTCGCCTCCCATGTTGATGTGGGTGTCTCTTGCTTGTTTGCATCCCTCTCTTTTCCCCTTGTTTTATGTATCTGTGGATTCTAAATGGTGGCTTCGTGACAAATACGTTTTCTTCTCTTATTACAAATAATCCGTGCCCGATATAGAAAATCCAAATAGGAAAATGTTGACGACAACAAACATTGTATGTCTTCAAGAGCTAAAATTATGCATTAATCACAATACCCAGAGATAACCACTACTGAACTTGATTTTATTAAATATGTTTTATGTGTAAAACTATGTCCTGGTATTGTGGAACTTAGAGAGGTGTACAGTATGGTCTTGCCTTCCAAGGCTTGCAAACCTAGCTGAAGAAAAACTTTCCACACTTGAAGATTTTAGGTAGGAAAAACATCTAAGTAGGTGATACTGTGCACTGGGTCATGGTGTGAGTTTCCAGCTTCACGTTTTGATAGTTAGATAACCTGAGTTTAATAGATTAACTAGCCTGTGCCTCAGTTTCCTCATGTGTAAGCAGAGATGATGATAGTGCATACCTGAAAATGTTATTGTCAAGATTAGATGTTACTACATGTGAAATCAAAAAAAAAAAAAAAGGGAAAAAAAGATCCAAATGACAAAAAAACAGAATAGAAGGGTAGATGGGGGGGGGGGGGGGGGGGGGGGAAGGGGGGGGATAGAGGTTAAAGAGCACAAACGTTGAGTGATAAGAATAAGTTGCGAGGATCTAATGTCCAACATGATGAGTGTAGTTAATTACTCTGGAAAGTTGCTGAGAATAGATCTGAAACGTTCTCACCACAGGCACACAGGGGTTAACTACATGAGGTGGATATGCCAAATACTTCGATCTTATTAATCATTCCACAGTGCATGTATATATCAAATCACCACATCATGCCTTTTAAATATATACAATTATATTTGTCAGTTACTCTTCAGTACAGCTGGGGAGAAAGATTAGTTGAATTAATGTGTGTAAAACACCTTGCCTTACACACAGTAAGCACTCAGTATAGATTAGCTGACAATTTTATTATCATAACACTTTAGAACACCAACGACACTGTGATGTAGGACGAGCAATGTTTTACTGACCAAAGAAGGAATTTCTGAAAACCATATTCCCTCGAAGCATTTTTTTAAATGGCATCTGATGTTTTTTTCAGAGCTATAAATGGCTGCAAATGAGGTAGTTTGCAGTGCATTGTAAATATTGACATTTTGAAACAAAACTCTTCCAGGGGCGCCTGTGTGGCTCAGTCAGTTATGCATCAACTCTACTTCCAGTACCTTGGAGAATTGTCTCATTTTTTGCTCCAAAAGTATATATATAATTTGAATTTTTAAAATGTCCTTCAACCAAAATCTTTGAGTTTTTAAATTTTTCTTAGAATTGAATTGCTGTTAATACTCAGGCACCATTGCTTGGGACAGCATAATTATTTATCAGCATGTTAATATTTTTATTAAAAATTGAAAGTAAACTTTATTGGAAATGCCTCTATGGGATTATGTACACTGATTGCAAGAGGCTTTGCAGATAATCAGTGTTTTAAATTATTCTTTTGTAACCAAAGATGTTTCTTTGGGGCAGTGCCCCCAAATTTCTGGTGTGCTGAAAGGCATATCGTTGTTTTGGAAGGTGGAGGAGATTGTCAAATGGGAGATAGGGAAAGAGAAACTGGCATTAAAACTTTCTCTTAGGCATCATCATCGGGCAGATGTGTTTTAGCGAGCTGATATGGGGAAGTTGAGAAACTATAAACTGATTTTGTTATATTTCTCTGTAACCAGGGATGCTTGTTCTCCTTTCTGAAAAATGCTGGTGCTTATGTATGTTTCTCAAAGGTTAGAGTTCCCTGGAGATTCTTCTTTTAAAAATATTTCATGATAATATAAATTTGAGAAAAGCTACATACTTGCATTCAATTCTCTGAGGGACATTGTTCACAATCATTTACTACATGTTCTCAGAAGTCCAACACATACAAACGTACACACATACATAAGTGACTGTTTAGCTCAAGATATAGCTAACTGATTTGACCTTTTTTTTTTCAGTTTATTTATTTATTTCAGAAAGTGCGAGTTGAGGGGAAGAGCACAGGGAGAGGGAGAAGCAGACTCCCCGCTGAGCAGAGAGCCTGATGTGGGCTCGATCCCAGGACCCTGAGATCATGACCTGAGCTAAAGGCAGACGCTTAACTGACTGAGCCACCCAGGCGCCCCGACATTTTTTTTCTTTAATAGCCTCTTGCTTAGTTCTTAGTGTAGCATGAATTGAAATATGCTTGAGGGAAAATTAGTCTGGATCAGTGATGCATGATAAAACTTTCTGCAGTGATAAAAATGTTCTGTATCTGCGCAATCAAATACGGTAGTCACTGGCCATGTGTGGTTGCTGAAAGGTAGCTAATGCAACAGAAGAAGCGGATTTTTAATTTTATTTAATTTAAATTTAACCTGAAAGAGTCAGGCGCAGCTACCGGCGCCCATGTTGGAGAGCGTGGTTTCTGCAAAAGCTCGGAGGAAGAAACTGTGTCAGAGGAGAGTGGCTGTGAAAAGTTTAGTGCAGGTGTATCTAAGCCAGTTGTTGGGGCAGGATGTCAAGTCTGAGGATGGTGCCACGGGAGCAGAGCTGTGTTGTAGGAAAATGCTGGAACTGTGGTTTAGTACTCATAAAGTTCTCAAGTCATCAGATTGCATATACTTCAAACCATACCCTAAACTGGGTAGCAGATAACGTGGGTGTAGGGCAGGTGACAAGAAGTGTAGACATTCAGAACTCAACAAATAGAGTGTAATTGCATTTAGCAGACTAAGATTTACTCAGTTTTTCTATAACTTAATCTACTTTTAGAGTGATAGCAGATGTTGAAACTCATAATGCCTTTTGCCAGCATTTCTTGGTAGTTGTCAAAATACTGTGAAGTTTCATTGTCTTATGAAGACTCTGCTAGTTGAAGATTTATGACAGTTCATACGGCATTTCTGCCACTACTACCACCAAGAATAATAATGGTAATAATAACTAACAACAGCTTATATCAAGGGTCTGCATTATGCTGAGGATTTTACATAGATACTTATCTCTTGTAATTTTTATATCATTCCCAAAATAAGTACCATTATTTCCCCATTTGGGAGATGCAAAAATTATAATTTAGAGAGATTAAATAATTTGTTCAGAATCACTCAGCTCCTAAAACAAGGAGCCAGAATTTTTGACTCACTGACTCCAATGTTTACCGCTAAAATTTACCTTATAATTTTCAATAAAAATGTTCTCAAAACAAATCAGTATAAGTAAGAGTGCCATTCTACTATTGAAACATACTTAGAAAATGAAAGTTTTGGACCACTTTCATATGCTTTGCTAAAAGTATTTATTGATAATAAGTGGATTGGTAAAAGGCAAAGTACTCTAATCCACTAATTAAAATAATTCACTCGAAGAAATCTACTGAGTACTGAGTTTTTGAGCTATCAGGGCTTATGAGCTTGAAAGCAGTAAAATGACACTTCTTTAAATATTTTATAATTTGAGTTTTTAATATTTTAACTTTTCCCATAGTTATGCCAGTTTAATATGTTTTATTTTACTCATGAAAATCATGTAAGTACATGCTCCTAGTATTAAGATTTGTAAATATGCAGTTTCAAATTACAGCAGGAAGATAACTATCCTTTAATTGAAGACATGCTTATATAGCTATATATAAATATAATTTAAATGTTTTCTCTGCTAGGAAGGGCTAGACCATTATTTTGAGGAATATATTCAGTTAACAATTTTTATCCTACATTTTTCAGAGTATTTTACTTATGGTATATTATCATAGTTTCAGGGCACAACAAATAAATAAATTGGATGAAATAGATTATTAGATAACATTTAATTAATACCCAGATTAGAACATTCTTGAGCGAGAAGGAAATGGTCGTGACTTCTCTTGATAACCCAGATTTCCAGTCTTCATCTGTTAAATATCAGGTGATGCTAGAATGATCAAGCAGTCTGTAGTGAAACAGATTTTTGCCTTCCCCATGGAATGCAGAATATTGTTAATTTCTGATATTCTCTTTATTGCTCTTGGTTCAAAAAGATTTAGCTATACAGACAACTAAGTTGTTCACCTTTAATTTGATAGACATTTATTAAACACTTAAATGTGCCAAAGAATGAACAGTCTAGTGGAAATGAATGATATATTCCTTCTTTCATTCACCAAATATCTGTGAGTTCCTGTTACACACCAGGCACAGTTCCAAGGTATTAAGAATCTAGTTCATGTTATAAACCGGACATAGAAAATTCTTGTCTTCGTGGAGTTTATATTCTACTGATAAATACATTTAAATAGATAATTTCAAAACAATATGGTGGTTTGGCAATAGAAATATATATAAGATACTAATAATGTGGGCGCCCGAGTGGCTCAGTCGGTTAAGCGTCTGCCTTCGGCTCAGGTCATGATCGCAGGGTCCTGGGATTGAGCCCCCACATCGGGCTCCCTGCTCAGTGGGGAGTCTCCTTCTCCCTCTGCCTCTCCCCCCACTTGTGCTCA